GGGGGGGGGGGGGGGGGGGGGGGGCTGTGCACGCCAAAACAGGAAATCTTGCACTAGTTTTAAAAAAAAATCTGACATGCTTTGCAGATACTGTGATTTTGTCAAGAGCTGGGATCTAACTCAAAATGAACAGCTTGTCTGAAGATCATTGGACCAGTGACTCTGTTATGATTCCAAGAAGTCTGAAGTGAAAGAGAAAAGCCTTTACCTTTTTAAACCATTCAGCATTTTCTGTTAGCCATTCTCCCCTTTCTTTCACAGTGTGACAGTACATGTAGAGTAGGGCTCCCTTTCTCCAGTATAAACATTCTAACAACTCTGTGCCAAGAACTTTCAGGGGCTGAAATAAAACCAAATGTTGATAAGCCAAATGTAAACTTTTCAAGCCTTACAAAGAAAAATATGGAAAGACTTTTTTAGCCCATGACAAAAACAAATGAACAAGCAAACAACTATATTGATGTTTACTGTTTGTATTTACATAGCTAAAAAAGCTGTCTGTGAATTCTGACTGGCCTAAATGGGAAAAGAACTGTAGGAAGCACCATTCACTTCCACAGAGCTGTTTCTAACAATGGTCTGTGGACCACTCTGTCATACACACATATACAAATCAAAGCTTTCTTAAACTTTCAGACTTTGAGGTTTAACCACCAAAAATTTTAAAAGTATGCTTTTTTTTTTTAGTTGGTGAATATACTTTCACAATTCAGTACCTACCTCCTGGTGCATATTGCTTTCCTTAATCACAATTTCTGGTTCTAAAAGAAGGCAGATTAGTTCTTTAACTTTCTGTAAAGACTCTTCTGGAAAATCTTCATCCACAAGCTTGTTCTCCTCAAAATATGTGATGTCCAACACAGCCTAAAAAAGAAAACATATAAAATGCTATCAGTAAGAATATTCAGATAGCTTATTACTCTTCATAAACAGTAAAATACAAGCCTGGATCAAATGTAGTGATTTTTAAAGTTAATTCTTTGTAGCAATATTGAGATTAGAGAAATCATACAGACTTGAAATATGTAAAACTTAATAGTTTGCAATAGTT